AAAGAAATTTAGGTTTTTGGGGGGGGGTGAAAGGGGGTTGGTTTGATATGGGGATTTCTTCAAATTCGGAAACTCGTTTGCCGGAATGAGGGAGCGAAGAATACGGGAGGTAAAGACATCACCTCATTGGGGGTGGACGGTTGGCTTTGTAGTTGATAATAACTTTTATATTTACCCTCCTTTTGTTGTTGTTGTTTCAATCGGTGTTGATGCGGTATGTGAATCCCTTCCTCATGTTTAGGAAGGGAAAACGTTTAATTTAACATTTCAGTTGAATTGTAAATTTTTAGGGCAGCATGAACCTATGCCGAATCCCCTCATGAATAAAAAAAAAAACTAAATAATTTTCATTCCGAACTCCTCTGAGCGATCTGCCCATTCCCATATTCCCTCTCATGTTATTTCACTCGCCGTTTCGGTGACATTTTCCCCCCCATGAAATACATTAATTCTCTTATGCGCCCCCCTTATTTTTCTTTATTATTCTTACTCTTATTCTTATTCTTTCAATCCTCAAAGGCTTTCCCTTTCCTATAACTGTCCCTTTATACCTATTTCTATTCATCAGCCCCCCACCCCCCCCAAACGACGCAAGTAAACCACCATGACGTTGATGAGTGTTCTGGCGAATGCCCTTCGCACCATCGCGAGTGCGGAGCGTCGGGGCAAACGCCAAGTCCTTCTTCGGCCCTCGTCCAAGGTGATTTTAAAATTTCTGCTGGTGATGCAAAAGCACGGATATATTAGCGAGTTCGAACTCATCGACGACCATCGCTCGAAGAAGATCGTCGTGAATTTGAATGGCCGGCTGAATAAATGCGGGGCGATTTGCCCTCGTTTTGACTGCAATGTCAAGGAATACGAGCAGTGGATGAAGTTTATTTTGCCTTCTCGTCAGTTCGGATTTTTGGTTTTGACCACCTCACTCGGGATTATGGACCACGAGGAGGCTCGTGCGCGGAATACCGGTGGGAAGGTGCTTGGCTTCTTTTACTAAATTCAATCAAGAAAATAAAGAAAGGAAGGCATTGGTGCGAACCCTAGGCTCGGATATGTCTAAGGAAAGGTGAAAAGACACCGTTTGTTTGTTTTTTTCACAATTTATTTCATTAAAAAAAAACTAAAAATACCTACGAGTCTTTGCGGTAGGCTTCTTTTTGAAGGTGTGTTAATTGGGGTCATGGGCCCTAAATTGTTATCAATCTTCTCGATTTCACCTATTGTTTATTTTTTTCTTTTTTTCTTTTTTACAGGAGGAGGAAGGTTTGTACAAGGGGGAATATTCTATTTTAAATATATTACTTTCCTCCGTCTTACAACTCTTAGAGTCGTGAGATATCAAAGCATCCACCCACACACGCATCATTATTTTAGAGATAAATTAAATCCATAAATAGATATAGTAATCGTTCCTACCTAACGGATTTGGAAAGTTCTTGATTGAACTGCGATTGCGGTTTATTCTTTTAGCGGCATTTTTATAATTAGTATCTCTATTAATTCTTTCATTTTTCTCTTTAATTTTTTTTTATAGTATTGAGGCCCCTCACATTGCGTTCACCAACATGGCAGACAGCCAAAGTGAATCCTCTGACGGGGTTATTCCTTTTCCTGGTTTAGACCTCACTTTTGTCAATAATAGCACCTTTTCGTATATTGCGATAGCTTTCTGCTTTGCAAGCTGTGTGGTTTCCTTTGTAGATATTCATAAACATCTCTCACGGATGGATTATCCCAAACTTCAAGTTCTCGAGATGCGAATCCTCTTTATGATCCCGATTTACGCCATTTTCACGGCACTTTCCTTGTTATTTGAAAGTTGGCGCTTTTTCTTTAGTACTATCCGCGATTCCTACGAAAGTTTTGTCTTATATATATTTTTTATGCTCATGATCGCGTACTGTGGAGGCGAGGGTCAACTTCTGCGTTCTTTGAAACGAAAATGCTACAAAGGCGTGCATCCATTTCCTATGTGTTGGCTTCCGATGTTTAACTTAGATCGATATTTCTACCTGCGAAGTAAACGATGGGTTTTACAATGTGCGTTGATTAAACCAATTTGCTCTTTTATCGCGATGGTGACCGTCCCGCTCGGGATCTATGAGGAAAATCATTTCAAAATTAACAATGTCTACACCTATACTTGTATTACGATTAACATCAGCCTCACCATGGCTTTGTATTACCTAATTTTGTTTGAGGTCGAATGTGCGAAAGAACTTCACTACGCGAAGACCTTTTTGAAGTTTTTGTGCATCAAATCCATTATTTTTTTTAGTTATTGGCAATCCGTCTCGCTCAATTTGGCAGCCTTGGCGGGCTTTCTATATCTTGGCAAAGACCGGCATGAAAAAGAACGAATCGGGAGTATAATTCGGGAAATACTAATTAGTTTTGAGCTCCTTCCCGTGGCCTTTTTACACCACGCCGCGTTTAGCCGAAGTAAATTGGATGCCGAGATGGCCGCGGTGCCCGTTTATATGAAAAATACAAACTCGGGAAATCTTCGCACAAATGTCGATACGGCGTTAAGTATAAACGATATCATCCACGACACCCTCGGTACGATTTTCTACCGCCGGGGGAAACTTGTCGATTTGGAGAATAACGACGAAACGAGCGAAAGTGATGGGGAAAAAAGGCTTGGAAAGAACGGAATGAAGGCCAGGGGGGGATCCACCATGGGGAATTCGCAAATTAAAAAAACAGGGCCCCTAGCGGCGGAGGAAAAGGAAGATGTGGAGGTGGAAATGGTGGAAGGGGTAGGAACTCTCGCGCGGGATCCGACGTTGGCGGAGTTGGTTCGACATGCTATCCAAACCGATTATGGCGTCCGCGTGGATGGAATTTTGCATTTTGACGACGAAAACGATCGCGAAGGGCTGGATTTTGACGAAACGAATGTGATGCTTCGCCAAAGTCGGTCCGATCGCGCGCAAAGTGAAATGCGGGTGGATCTCGATCTCCTCCGTTCGAACCAGGCCCAACAGCAAAATGTGGGAATACCGCAAATTTATTGTGTGGTGTGCGGCCGATTTGATCGTGAGATGGTGCGACGGCGGAATGGGTATAAATGTATTGAATGCGTCGGGACGAAAAGCCAGAGTTTACTACGGCAACGACAGCTCGCAGCGACGGCGGGATCGCCCCTGAAATTTTATGAAAGATAAAAAATAAAATAAAGGAGGGTGAGAGAGAGACCTCACACCCTGTCGACAGTACGAAGCCCTACCTACCACCCACGGCGTAGTTGAACTAAACAACGACAAGGATAGAAAAATGCGACAGGAGGGAAAACGCCCAACACGGGACTCCCACTCTCATGCGCTCCTTTAAAAAACCATACAAAGATGAATTCGGTACTTCACACACAAACGCAAAGGAATGCGGCACAGCGACCAAGCAAAAAGGGCAACCGTTTCTAGTTGGTGTTCTAACATTGTGTTTGACGCACGAATTAGTATTCGTTATTTTTTGTTGTAATCTTACAATGTCACTAAATTTTATTATTTTCATATAATTTACTTGTTGCGTATATTCTAACCAATAATGTAATAAATCATGAATCCTTTTATTCATATGTTGTACACGCGCACCATCAAAATAAGCTTTACAATACTCTTGTATAGCAGGTTCCCTCCTATTATTGTGTTTTGCACTCTTTCTGAAGTTTTAGTATAGGTGCTTTTCATCTCTCTTCAAAGCTGGCAGGCGAACAAAAGGTGATTTGTTATCCACCTCCCTCTTTATCTCTTTAGTGTTACTACTACTTCACTGGGAATAAAGTCACAGAAGTATTGGAAGGCGAGGGCTTTGATAATTGCGATTGCCGTTGCTATCACATTGTTGATCCCATTGTCATTGGAAAGGAGTGAAGAGGACATCCTAACACTATAGCATTCCTTATCCCCTCCAGAGTAGGGGGAAACAATATCCCCGAAGCACGCCGGGACGGAATCGATACAGACAGCGGAGGAGGACGCATCCTGTTGGCTCAGCTGAAACTTGTGAGGAACATACGCAGCGATAAAGTCCTGAGGAAGAGATGTCGGAGGAAGTCACCTCCCATGACGGGATCGACTTTTCCAAGTACTGCGTTCTTCAAAGCAACAATCACCCGCCGGTTGAATTCAGGGTGACTCGTGAGTCCGCCAAGATGTCCGGCCTCCTTAAGGATATGCTGGACGATCAAGAGGGGGGCGACGCCATTATCCCAATTCCCAACGTATCCGGTCGCACCCTGAGATTAGTGCTGGACTACATGGACTACCACTGCAACAATCGTGCGGGGCCTATTGAGAAGCCTCTTAAAACGAAGATTGACGATATTATATGTGAGTGGGACTATAATTATTTATATAAAAAATTGCTCAAAGACGGGGATGAGCACCAGCACGAGGCCCTCATTGATGTCATCATGGCTGCGAACTTTCTGAACGTGAAAGATCTGCTGGACCTGACCTGTGCCTTTGTGGCGAATATGATCCGGGGGAAATCAGCTGAGCAGATTCGAGAGCTGTTTAACATTGAAAACGATTTCACGCCCGAGGAAGAAGCGAAGATTCGTGAAGAGAATCGCTGGTGCGAAGAGTCGTAACAAGGGAAAGAAAGGTATCGGAGCTCAGCAGGGAAAAGGTCTCGAGCGCGAAAAAGATCAAGTAGTTTGCGTGAGATGTGACTGATGTAGAGTATTGACAAGTGTAAAAGGCACGGTGAACCCTCTCTCCCCCACAAGGCCGCATCGAGAGAAATGGACGCCTAGCTATGATCAATTGCAGCTCACAGCATGGATCTGTTCTCATCACCAGTGATGTTGTTTCCTCTCCTCGGATGCTTTCCCCTCTTTCCATTTGAGAGGGAGCGATCCGTGCCAGGGATGGGAGGAGGGAAGACCGATATGTGGGAGGGCATATAACCGGTGTCACATGGGGCTCGGGCAAGTCTTTGCTTCTTTTTTGCTGGTGCATTCACAGGAGAGGGGAAGTGCCTTTGTAGAAATGGAAAACTTGAGTGTTGGAGTGAATTCTGGAAATCCTGTCGATAGTGATTTATCTTTGTATTTAGCTTGCCTACCAATTTCTAATAACCTGTTATAGTGCTTTTGTGGCACTTTTTCCTTTGAATCCCCTCTGTTCTATGCAATGGAGGAGCGAAGATATCCCAGACTAGATAAGGGTGTGAGTACGGGACAACAGCAGTAGAAAAATGGCCACACAGGGGAGGTCGAGCTCCCCTCCCCCACGTAGCAAAAGATGCTTTCCATGTGGTCATCCCAAGCGTAAGATTCCAGTATTTATCATCGTGGAACATACAAATCTTTTCCTTCTTCTCCCTTCTTCTTATGGTTT